GCACTAGTGAACCAGTTCGAACTGGTGTAGTAAGTTTGAGTGAAACAAAGGATTTGTTCTTTATTGTTGCACTGGTGAGCTAGTGCAATGAGTTAAAGCGAGACAAATAGATTTTGTTTCACTCTAACTTACTGCAACAGTGGACACTAATTCACCAAGTGCAGCAATAAAGGACAAACGCAGAATATATTTGTCTCACTCTAACTATTGCATTGGTTCATCAGTTGAGCAATAAAGAACAAACCTATTGAAAGAGACAAATTCTGAACTAGTGCAGCTGAAAAAAGAGATCTATACGTGATGCAGACGAGAAGCGAAAAAAATACGTCAAAGTTTTACGACTGGTACCGCGCTGCTTGTTTCGAAAGCGAATATGGATATAAAGTGATACTAAATAATAAATTACAACAGAGATAACGAAAATATAGAGACGAATCGTCGCAGTTTCGCGTATCCGTTCTGAGAAATTCGCAGGAAAGTGCACAAATTTACGTCACTGCGCCTTTTAACGGGAGGGGACGATAACGAGAGACCCGTCTGTCTGCCGTTTCATTGATCGAAAAAGGACACTCGCTATTAAATTCGACGCCCACTCGCTATCGCACTCGCCGTGGAATTGTAAATTGTGTATATATACGGGTGCGCGACTGATGAATTGAAATACCAACGCCTCGACTCGCGCACAATGACGGTTCTCATCGCTAACATTTCGCGCCGCTCAAAGGCCAACGTGCGTTTTGCCTCGCTATTTAAAAAAAAAATCAATCGCCGATTAATTCACGAAGGCAACAAGCTCGGAACTCAACAATGGGGAGCTCTTTTTCACGGAGCGCATAAATTATCGCATTTTCTCTCGCACACGTGTTTACTCGGAATTATAGGTTTCTATTTTCCCATTCATGTGCGCGCACATTCATTTTTACCTCATTTAAATCCCTTTCCCTTTCTCTCGAATTTCGCGGCTACATCTTTGTCTCTTTAACTTTTTTTTTTTTTAATTTTTTCCTGTCCATTCATTCTTGATATCTCTCGAAGAGATCCCTCTGTTGCCTTAGCTCGTCACGCGGGACAGTTTGCGCGATCACGTACGAGTTCGTGGATCTTTGATGAAACTATTTGGACCTCTCGTTAGGTCGGCTAAGCGCTAATCGAGGTACGAGAGAGAGAGAGAGTCTATCTGTATATGTGTGTGTAACGCGTTCGAACGACGCAGATGGTGCGGATCGGTCGCCGAGAGAAACGTGCAACTACATCGTTACGATCATTGATCTGTTTTATTCCTCTCTCGCACGTATAGAGCTTGGTGGGCCGTGGCTGCGGCCTCGCGATCGTTACTCTATGCGCCAGGAGTTGCCGCGTTCCGGAGATGAAGGGAGACGAAGGATGAAAGAGGGAAAGAGCGAAGTGTCGGTATCGATTCCTGCGAACTATATATCCGCGAAAGAAGCTGTAGGATATACCTCGCCTGCCTTCTCGGGCCACAGAGAGAGAAAGAGAGAGGACTGCGCTTTCCTATACGCTAGGACAACCCACGACAACGCGCCGGATGATTTTATTGACGCATGCTAGTCAGGATTCAGGATCTCGCGTCGAGAGAGTCCTTGACGCATGCATATATCGCGACGAAAATAGAAAGCATTCGCAATCACGGATGTGTATCGTAATGCATTTAATTTCCCCAGTAATGACGAGGATTCAGTCGGATAAAATTTTATGCGACATGGTGTAAAGAATAATACCTATAATCAGAGTGGTCGATGAAGCAATTATAGTTTGCACAATTTATAAATGAGATGTATATATTTAGTGATAAATATGTATATGGTATAAGAGAGTGCACAGAATTGAAATTTCTGGAGCACTCTCCGGGTGTCGGGAATTACGGTATCTCATTCGCTCGTTCGTCATTCGCCGATCGATTTCGTGCGAGCTGACAAAGTGCTTCGTCGCCTTTATGCCTTTTACATTATGGGGCGACCGACTCGGCGGAGGAAGCGAGAGATCGTGCGACAGGAAAAAAGAAGGAAAGAGAAAGGAAAAGTATGCGGCGTCAGTGTAGGGACGGCGAGACGGCCCTGAGAGCAGCGTAGAGATTACCGGACCCAAGGACGTCGCGGGCCCCAGATTCTCTCTTTCTCTCTTTCGCTGCTATCTCATTTCCTCCTTCTTCCCTCTTTATCGACCGTCTACGCTTTCCGTATACATTTTTTTTTATCCACAATCGCAGAGCTCATTGATTTTCCCTGTTTCCTTATTTAGTCTCGGTAGACACTTATCTAGTGATTTATCCAGCGACTTATCTAGTATCTGACAGTAGGACTTGACTGAAATTTCAGAACGTTCAACGTAGTTCTGGGTGATCGCAGACTTTGCTGGAACAATGGAATTCCTCACGTTTCCATATCGATGATTCTAGGACACCTTGTACATTTTACATTCTCGTAGGAATGACGAGGGATAGAGCCGGAGGACGATCCTCGGCTTTTAAGACCTGGGTATGCTGCTGACTCATTTTCATACCCGTCGATTTGTCTCACTAATTCCAGGGACCGTCGAATGGTCATTCTTTTCTACTAAATCTGTCAGGTCCTGAACTCTCTCTCTCTCTAGTTTGCGTCCAGTAATACCATTGTCAAAGTTATCGATACCTTCGGAATATCGGAGAATACACTCTGGTACAGAAATTCTCGGTAGAACTCATTCTTATAGGGTCTAACGGTTGGTGTCCCCTGCCTCATCTTCGTTTCTCTTCGGCACAGACGGTTGCTCTCCTGGGGCCCAAACTTTCCCCCGACATCTCGTCGGTCTTTCCCCTCGTCTCTATCTTCTCTCTGTCTCTCTCTCTCTCTCTCTCTCTCGTCTATCTCTCCTACATATTTCTACATCTCTCCTCTCTTCTTCTTCCTCCTATACTTTGCCAAGTTAACACGCCAATACGCACACGTGGGTCGACGCGTACACGCACACAATAAAATGCGGGTTCGTGTCCTTCGGACCGCTGCCTCGGCAGTTAGCAACAGCACGGCCGCCGCACGGCCGGAAATACCGGGTGTCCGAATATTACGAAGGAGACGGATTTCGTTTGAAACGCCCATACGGACCGATTCGCTGGATATACAGAAGCGAGAGGATCCTCGTTGCGTTGCGAGGCGGAAAAAAATTTTAATGGCCGACCCATTAATTTTCTTTTCACGCTTCAGCCTTCCTGCTCCGAGAGAGTTATACGGTTACTTTCGCGATTTCGCACAAATCTCAGGAGAGAAAGAGAGAGAGAGAGAGAGAAGACTGCGCCAGGTGCGCGATGAGTCTTGATTTTTTTTAGAGACCGCACGTTGAACGCAAATCGTCCGAACGCGAATTTATTTTCGAGAAATTCCTGCGGTTCTCCCCATAAAATAGCCCTTTTTTCTATTTCTCTCTCGTTCGAGATATCCTCGAACTTACCGCGAATTCTCGTTGCGATACTTGACGGAAAATGATAGGTGAATATTTATTGAAATTTTTATTTTTATTTCGAAGAAAAAAATATCTACCCGAGAGATTAAGGTCCCTCTGTTATGACGAACATCGATAAGAAAAAAAGGTATGGAGAGATTTTAGAGGTTGCTCCACGTGGATGATTTAAAATGTCTGCCACGACGTTTGCGGAAAATGCATTGGACATGAGAATTTCTGCAGATCGCCATAAATTGGTCACATTCAGCGGAATTCAATGCCTAAACTTGAGGCTCGTTCGTGAAAATGTCTCAAATTACTCAATTAACACATTTGCAAATTATTCACGTCCGATTTCTCCTTCAATTCTTGGTACCGTAAGGAGTGGCTAGAAATGTTTTTCAAGAACAGAGACCCGGACTGTCTCGCAACAAGCACAAAAAATTATTAAAAGATCATTCCTTTGAAAGAACTTGGTTCGCTAGTTAAGTGATTTAATGCGGTATCGTAAATATGCGAAACATTAATTTTGCAAGCGAGATAAGTAAAATCTCGGATCCCCGCGATGAGTTGAAGCAAGAGGTGAGATTCCGTAACATATATACAATATACATATATGTATTTTTTTTATTATAGCAGATAATGGTCGACTCTTTTACTGTCGCTTTCATAATATGATAGGTTTAAGGTCGATACCGAGTAATCCCTGGAAAGGGTGACTTATCTAATCTGTGTCCGCCCACTGCAACCGCAATCGCGGTTAAAAATGTGGAAATCACTTCTTATTAGAGAGCCTATAGTCTATTCTATTTTTGAGAATGATTTTTAGAATTGCCAATAATTTTTCAGTCGGAATAAAGAAATTTGTGTTTCTTTGACCTTAATTAGTCAATGAAAAGCTACTCTACTCCAAGGATTAAATTTTGGAATAGAGCCAGACATGACACTTTCATGACGTTTTATAGTATGACGCTGAAGATTTAATGCGATCTTTTAGGAGAAACATTTCCGAGATGAGGGGTTCACGAGAATCTCTGATTAATTTTTTCATTAATTTACGTGACGAATAGGAGCTGCAACTCTCTTGGAAAAAGCCGTAAAAAAAACATCTTTCCAGATATATTACACAGCTTATTCCACATAGCGATAACGCCGGTCTCTTATCTTCTTTATTACGAGAGAAAGCGCGAATGTGTCTCCGTTCTTAACGTCACAATTTCGCGAAATGCATCTGGTATGCGCTCGATGACGATGAGCGGAATATCATCGATCGCGTATCTTTAATTACGCGCTTAATTAATCACACGTTTATATAAGTTTCACTTGCACGTAGCATGCACATGCAATTCTATCTCGCTCACGTTGAAATTTAATATTCTTCGCAATCGATATTATAATATTACAATTATATAATTTATTTATTTTTTATCATATAATTTATTTTTTTTTTTTTATTATACAATTTCTATATAGAAAAAAGAGCGATGAATAAAAAAAGCACTGCATTCGGTTGCAACTAAACATTTTACGTAAATAATAATCAGAATCCTCTTTCTCTGTTTCAGGAGAAGAACTCCTTCCTTAATTACAACGTGTCCTGCATCCTGACGCTGCCGCCTTACCAGAGGCAGGGTTACGGCCGGCTCCTCATCGATTTCAGTGAGTAGGAAAATATCGAGAAATACAACAGTTTCGTTTAACCTTGGAAGTATAAGGACGGCGATGACGGCATCCTTCCGCCCGGCGAAATCGAAAGGATAACCGAATTAGGAGTAGGAGAGTAGACTCTCGAGCGCGGGATACGCCTCCGCGTTTCGCGACGAGGATGACGATGACGTCGACGAAGAAAAAGGCCGCGTGTCTCGGCGATAGGATCGTTCTTCTTGGCCGTTGAACCGCTGGAAGAAGGCCGTTAAACGCTAAATCTAAAGGTACCATATCATGTGCAGCATGCTGCCGCAGCAATTTGTTGCTACTGGTGAAGTTCAATTGAACGAACATGCGACTAGTTGATTCTAATTATTATAATATATTGGTTAAATAATGGATTTGAAGAATAAAATAGATTATCGTGAGAATGTAAAAGCAAAAATCGTAATTTGAACTTTGAAATAACAAGAGAACAAAGAAATATGATCTAATAAATTTTAATCACACGACTGATTTGCTGCTGCAGCATGCTGCGTATGAAAAGGCACCTTAACACGCTCTCTCTCTCGCGAAGTCTCCCGGATCGTTCGAGATGGAGGAAAAAAAAAAGCCGGAGATTCGCTCACCCGTCGCGAAAGCCCGTATTCGGCTCCAACTGTGAGCGAGCGATCTCTCTCTCTTTCTCTCTCGACAATCCGGTACCTAAATTTACCCATTGCGGATATTTCGGCGTCTGCGTTACTCGGCGAAATCTATTTCTGTGCATCATCCTCGGCGATCGATTTTCTAAACGCTTTTAACGCTAAAACGTCCCTCTCTCCTTCCAACCCTCGATGGTGGTGGTGGTCATCTCGTACCAATTTCTCGACACGCACGAATATACACGACGGACCTATACACATGCGCGGGACTCACGAGTCTCGAAGCGTAGCGTGGATAATTAAACGCGGGGGCTTTTTGCCGTGACGTCATTTTCATTGATGCCGAGCGAGCGTCGACGGCGTCGGGCGGGCATCGTCGGCGCTACTACATCGTAGTAGGAGGGGTGAAAATGCTGGTGCGCGTCGGGAGGGTTGGTTGGTTCGTTGGTTTGGTTGGTTGGTTGGTTGGTGGCTGGCTGGCTGGCTGGCTGGCTGGCTGGCTGGCTGGCTGGCTGGCTGGTCGAGGGTCGACGTACTGTGCCGCCGTGGTGTGTCGGTCGGTCGACCGGGGGTGGTTTCACAGTCCCGCCGACTTTTCCGCGAGCGAGACGCTTTCCCTCCCTCCTCTCCTCCTCCCTCAGCCATCGTCCTTCTGCATCCAGTGTCGGGTGCCATCGACTCCGCCGCCGGCCGTATTTCGACTGTACAAGGCCGGCCCTACGCGAGTAATTTAATAACATTTCTTTTTCCGCAGTTCTCGCAAAGTCAAACGAGTTACTTGAATTCGCAATATCGATCAAACTTGGGGTCTTCATATCGTTATCCTTATAATTCACCAATTACTCTGAATATTTATCGACCGCTTACGCGGAGCATTCGTACGCGACCATTCCACACTGTGTCCAACATGTTCCATAAGAGAGAAGGGACAGAGAGAGAGAAAGAGAGAGAAGCGAAGTTTGCCCGGAGGGTCGCTGTAAAACTCTTGAAGCACCAAAGCGTATCGATATCCGCGTTCGTTCCACGTAGCGGGAGTGCGACGACGGCGGCGCGATGGCGTAGCGTAGGGGTTGGAGAGCGAAGTGGTCTGCGGAAAGTGCGACGCCCGGCGTCTCGCCGCATCGATCCGACCCTCTCCCTCCCTCTGGCCGCCGACGTCGCGTACACGCTGCGTGCAGACACGCGTACACCCTCGCGCTTCCTGTCTCACGCACCCGACGCACTCCTCCTCCCCAACCGCACTCTCTCCGCGCACCTTGATCTCCGCAGCAGGCTCTTCCGTATACCTGCCTTGCCCTGCCCTATCCCTCCTCCTAGCGCGCAGGGCGCCCGAAGGACTCGTATATGACCTCTCGTGACCTCGCTCCACTATCCCTATACGTATTGGCAGGGTCACCGACGCCCTCTCCCTACGTCCAGTTATACGATCGGCGAGTGGGGAGACGGAGGGGTTGCCGCAACATTGCTGCGACTGGGCAGCGTGCAGCATCTCTCGCCTTCGTCGGGGCGAAGGGCGGATTCGCAGTTTCTCTCTTCTCGGACACGTTTTCGGCATTTTTTTCTCTTTGTTTTTCTCGAGACTCCGCGCGACATCTCGAAGACAAATCGTCCCGGCCACCCAAAGAAATTGCAAGTTGAATTTGTTCCCTAACTGCAATAGAATGAATACATCTTATGTAACGGGAAAACGAATGGGGGGTTTCGCGACCTAACTCTTTCCATTCATCCTGCAGAGTGAACAAATCTGTTAAAAGTGAATCTTCATTTTAAAGAGGGAGGAAATACAATTTTTTTAAGGGCATGCCGACTGATGTCTGTTTTACCGACTTTGAGTTCAAGGGCTTCTCTTTTTATTGGCTATACAGATCACCTCGTAACAATACTTATTTAATGCAAAAGTTCTGCGGTTTATTTGTACACAAAATATGGCGCTCCCAATAGAGACGACATGAAAGAATTCATTATTATCAGGATTTTCATTATGGAGGATTTTTAACCTGTATATTCAATAAAAAGTGAACCTAACCTAACTTATAAAGTCCGTAAAACAGAACTACGGCAGAGCATTCCCTTAAATATTTCTGTAATCAAACTCGCATTAATAATGTCACATAATTTTTGCTTGTTTATTTCGATTTCTCGTTAATTAAGAATGAAACGTAAATTACACCTCGCGATTTTTGCTCCGACCACTCGCTCCATTAAGCCTCGCCAAAGACAAATATCGTCGACAAGTCGTAAATCTTGTTCGTCGCTGATTCCGACGAACTGTTCTCTCGGCGGTGCCGAATTTGGCGAATTTCCCCCTTCGTCGAGCCGATCCCTTCCCTCTCATCCCGTCATACCGATCCATCTTCCTTCCTCTCGCTTCGCGACAGTCACCGTTTTCCTCTTTCTCGAATTTCCACCGTCGAATTGCCTCCCCTCCGTCGATTCTCCCTTTCGCTCCATCCCTTCCCTGAAAGTCTGCAAACTGAACGGACGCGTAATGAATGCGTTCAGCCCTCCCAAAGTAATCAGTGGTGAGAAGGAGAAATGGCGGGGGTGGCGGTGAATACCCGCGACGAGAGATGGTAGTCTGCGGAGAAGGAGAAGAGAGAGAGAGAGAAGTGTCCTCTCTGCCAGAGCGGAGATACACGGTCCGCGAAAGTGAAGGAGATGGTGCGGCATGAAACAGAGAAGAGAGAGAGAGAAACGTGTGGTCGTTGAACCCTTCCGCCGGCCGGGAACACTCTGGAAACCGGGAACGGAGGGGACTCGGTGTCCCGGTGCGGGTATATTCGCGAAGGACACGAGTCTCTTCCCGTGTCTCGTCCTTGTCCGTCACGAGGATGAAAAGGGCGAGGCTTTTCTCTCTCTCTCGACTTTAGCGAAAAGATGAGGAATGCGAGAACGGATGCATAATAGATGCACGTAGACGAAGGCTTTGGGGCTTATTTGGGGTCGGGAATTAAGGCTCCTTGGAAAAAGGAGCTCTCCGTGCAAGGATTATTATACGGTGTATCTTCGCATAAAGTATAAGAGACACTCAAACTGTTGCGACACATTTTTTATTTTCGCCGATAGAATTTTCTCTTCGAATTTATCTGAAAAATTAATTATGGTAATCGTGGGACAATATGGTATTGGCAGAATCTTATAAGAGTTATAGTGAAAAAGAGATAGTAAAATGAATCGAACATATTTGATCTCTTATTGGGATAGATATTAATATTTTGATTGTGGTGAATATTAAATTAAAGAAACTCTTGTAAAATTCTTTCAATATTATATTGTCTTCGATTACCATGATTTTCAGGGTATAAATTTGAGGAGAAAATTCTCTCTGCGCATCGTTTTACATATTAATATTTTTCTCTCATCCTCTCTCTAATTACAAGAAGATCAATTTTTATTTCTGAATAAATCGAAGAGTGGATATTAAGTATGATCCGAGACTATAAAGGGGGCTTTTGTAGAACAATAAATTAAATAACTCAAAGGCGTTCTCGTGACGCGTCCGTCGGTAATCTCTTAACACTTAATTAGCCCGTACTCTTTGATACATTTAGCCGCGCGAAAACGGCGCATTGAGAACTTTAAATAAACGTCTTCCGACGACGGCGAGATCTTCATTGGTGAAAGACGGCGGCGAGAGAGAGAGAACGAGAGATCACTTTGCTAATGAAGGAGCTTTTGAATTCGCCGACGTAATTTCGGGTACGCGACAGCACTGATATCTCCTAGCGAATCCGTCCATCCAGTAGCGAAACCCACGTAGCGGAATCGGTTATACATAATGTAAGGTTCTGCTCGCACGCGACAAGTACTCGTAAGATCCAGGATCCATTAAACCCCATCAGCCCCGTCGCAAGATTGACTTTTACTATTCCTGTCTCGAGTCAGATCTGCGCAAATCGGATCTCTCGTTTCACTCTATCTAGGATCGCAGGACTTCTTCCAGAAGGTAGAGAGAATAATTAACATTTTTTTGTTCTCTAATTTTTTGATTTTATATTTTCATTTTTTTTTTATATTAAATATACAAATTAATTTCCGTGTTTTTTTTTTTCAAAAGGATAGCAAACACTGAATTTTTGTACCGATTCCAAGAGGGGACAAATCATGTCCTCTACTTCCTGTCACGGTGGATGATGTGGATAATTTGCAGATTTCGAGCCGCAAGCATCGTCATTGGCGCGTTCTCCTCGTTAAAAATTTGATCCCGGGGGAAACCTTTGGAACTTTTTAACGATCCAAGTTCGACATCAACATTTCCGCTCCTTGGGAGATTTCACCTGCTCGACGAGGAGGGGGCGCTTTATCGATCTCGTCCGTTCGAGTTGCGGTAGATCTGGATCTGGCATTTAAGTCGTCCCTTCTCGCATCCTTGAAAACGGGTTTTTAACCGGTCCGTCGGATAATTCCATTGACGTAGACGGATGCGCGCAACGGACGATTTCGCCGATTCACCGGGCAGACGACGGCGCGAAACGGCCACCATCCCCTATATACATCAATAAAAGCGATACAATTAATCAGGAAGTAAAAGAGTTTAATGCAAAAAAATTATTGATGCCAAAGTATTGTATCGATTAAAATATATTGCAAAGATTGTCGCCAAAAATAAAGACAGTATCGGGAAAATGAGTAAAATCGCAATTACGCTTTTTGACAAAATGTTTTTTTTTTTTTTTTTTTTTAATATCTCCAAATCCATAACTGTACATCAACGTGGGATTATCTGTCGAGCAACATTATAATTTTGATAAAAAATCACGTAGTGTCATCGATGAATCATCTCGCGCAGAACCATATTAGCGTGCAATTGGCGAGACCTCGCGCGATAAGGGTATATATATGAAATAAAATTCCCCCTGTTCTTCTCTCCCTCATCTGTCTATATATTTTTCTTTGATGCCTCGTAGAATATTTCGGGCAAACGAGGCGGAACGGACGTTCAACCGGGAGCAGACAGGTCCGTTCCTCTGTCGGATCCGGTCAGCCACTTGTCTGCGCTCGAATTAAAGTGTATAATAGGATTCTTCTAGCGGATTACACGCACACGTACCTTCGAGAAACTTCACAAAGATCTCGCCAGTTTCCGCCGAGTCTAATTTATACAGTCGCTTATCAACATTCTTTTCAAATCGCAGCGAGATAGTTCTCTTCAAGACCCCTGTCGAGCTGGTCCCCCACTTTTCAAAAATTAAAAAACTATAATAGCGCATCATAATGAGCTATTCATGAGCTTTTATCAAATTTTGCAGCCCTTTCTTAAAAAAAATTTTAATTTGCGATATATATAAAAGTTCATTATTATATGCTATTAGTTTTTTATTTTAAAAAAATGGGGGGCAGCTTGACAAAGATTGATTGTTTGCTTTCATATTTTTTTTTATGGAAATTGCTATTCGATGCACGCGATTTTCTACGCCCTCGCGTAAAATCGAACCTTTGCAGGTACAAATAATATCGAGTTGATCCGCTTTTGCGCAGGCTACCTGCTGACGAGGGTCGAAAAGAAGATCGGCTCGCCGGAGAAACCGCTGTCGGATCTCGGCCTAATCTCGTACCGCAGCTACTGGAAGGACGTGCTGCTCCAGTACCTCTGCAATTTCGGCGGCAAGGAAATTTCCGTCAAAGGTGAGCGAATATATATATAAGTCCTAACCGCGACCTCTCGAACCAGGACTTTCGGCGTTCCGGAACGGTGCGATTTTTAAATATTCATGCGCGAAATAAAAGTGCAGGGCAAGTTTTGGCTCTTTGAACCACCTATACGGTTTTTCAAAGCCGTATAATTTTTTCTCGGAGCAAAAATTTACATTCGTTGCATAATTTCCCGACGAAAGGGATCTTTAAAAACGCGAATCTTATGAAAGTGCGTTAGATGGACTAGAGGGGAGATTTATTCCATCTCGATAGAATTTACATACACGAAGCACACACACACATGCATATATACGGTTAATCCACTCTCGGTCGATATTACACATTCTATTTTAGATTTTGTGTCTCGAGAGAGACAAGGGAATCATCAGCGGGGGATTTACATCGCATTGTTATTGATCTGATGGTCAAGTTTTCCCAACGTAACTGGTTTTAGCGGTTGAATAATTGTATCCACGGGGGCAGAATAAACCGCCCTTATATACTCCCCGTCGAGAACCGCAGCAAATTATACATGATTCATCATTTCCGCATTTTCGCAACTGCTACTCTGCAGAGAGAGAGAGAGAGACCTTCATTTAGGTTTATTATCGGATCCGAGTTAAATGGATTCGATATTAAACGAACGTCGAGCTAAAACAAATATAAATATATATATATATATATATTTTTAATTAAAGATTATTTTTAAACTCGAGCCGGAGTCGCGCAGCTAATTAAAGAGGCTAACGAAAGCAGAGGGTATTTTTCTTCCCGATATGCCTTGCAGATTTTTACATTCTGATCCTTGTTACTTTACACACACACACACACGCACGCATGCAAAAATCTCAATCGGTATAATAAATTGACCACGTCTCAGCGTGAATCTTCCCGTTAGTCTCGTCATTTGATGAAATCTCAGCGTCGCGAGAAACAAGTTTCTTTCGTGAGATTGGATATTATGACCCGTCGAGGCTTTTCCGCCGACAATAATTCTCGATTCCAAGGAGGGTCGCGTGGAAAAAAGACCGTTATCGACCATGAGACAGGCTCGATAATTCCTCTTTCACACAGATATCAGCAAGGAAATGGCCATCGACTCGTACGACATTGTCAGCACTTTGCAGGCCCTCGGCATGATGAAGTACTGGAAGGGCAAGCACATCATTCTGAAGAAACAGGTAGGAGCTCTCTTTTGTTATTGTAACCTGTCATGCATATATACATGTATATACGTGTATAAAGTTCCCCTTCGCGAGAGCGATCTATTCTTTCCCGCAAGCGCGCTTGTCATCGTATCGGATTTATTATCGCAACTCGCGATGTTTTAAACATAACAATTCGTCGAGAGAATCCTCTTGGCGAAACGTCATTCCTCGATAAATTAAAAAAAAAATTGCATTATTCTTGTCGCATGACAAATGTAATAGAAAAAATGGAATATGATATACCAAGAATGAAATACTTATTTTAATATTGTATATATCGCACATAAATCCGCTGGAAATTTATTTTCAGTAAATAACGCTGAAAGTTCCACACGTTATATTGTCATGTCTATAAATATACAATTAGTTGGACTTGACGGAAATCGTTTTTTTTTTTTTTTTTTTTTAATTCCTTTTTCTTTTTTCCTCGCATCAGAGAACGACAGATAGATAACGAGAAACGGATGACTCGTCGATGTAGTATAACGAGAAAAAAAAGATTTCGACGCAGACCATGGCTTTCCCACTATTATCAGGCGTATCTGATTAACGTGATTACGACGGCAACGAGGATGATCCGATTTCGCGATCGTATTCGAGCACAGTATTCCCGAATATGGTCGACCGCGAGGCTAATTATTATTCGACTAATTCGGGTTGCTCCCACCCTCTTCGTATATATTACGATCACCAATCCCCCACCACGGTCTTATATGCAGATCAGGACACTCATTAAAATAAAGTGTATAAAAAATGTACAACTCGAACCTGTCATGTAATAATATATTTTACTCTATTTTCAAATAATTTAATAAAAACCATTCTTAATATTTAATATTTATTCCGACATTTCTTCAATTGTGCGCAAGATCTAACACAAAACTGTCAAAAGACTTGGAAAAATCTGCGCTGACGCACATTGCATAAATCGGCCATATTAGTTAGATTTTGTTACACTTGACAGCATGTAGTCCGGAGCAGTTGGGCGCGATAAAAGGACCGTTGAAATAATTTCAGGACGTGATCGACGACTACAGGGACAGGCTCCTGAAGAGACGGGGTCCCGTCTACAAAGAGATCGATCCGGAGTGTCTGAAATGGAACCCCTTCCAACCACCCAAGACGCCCTCCGCCTCGAACTAAGACCCGCCGGAAGCTTGAAAGTGCGCCACCTTCTCTCTCTCACCCTTCGAGTTCCTCTTCACGGTCGATCCTGCCGTCGTCGTCGTCGTCGTTCTCGTCTTCGGCCTTCTCGCCGACGTACAGGGAGAGCACCGACAGATCCGCGAGAAAATTCTTCCAGGAACTCCTTCATTCCGAAGAACGGAGAAGAAACGACCGGTGAGTTCTATCGCATTCTATCGACGATACCGTTAAAGCTCGCCGCAAGAGAGGCAAAACTCACACCTCGTGATTTTAAGAGCGTCGTTATATGTTGCGAGGCTGAATTTATAAGCCCGAAGGTGCCTTCTCACACGCAGCATGCTGCAGCGGCAAATCAGTCACGTGATTAAAATTTATTAGAGCATGTATTTCTTTCTCTCATTATTTCAGGGTGAAAATCACGATTTTTGCTTTTATATTCTCATAATAATCTATTTTATTCTTAAAAAATCGAATATTTTTCTAATATAATAACAATAATTAGAATGAACAGCAACAAACTGCTGCGGCAGTATGCTGCACATGAGATGGTACCTTGATGTATATTTTTTAGAATGCGCTGAAGATTTTTTAAATTTTATATCATTCAGAAGAGTGAAGCTCTCTCTATCGACATTTATATTTAAATCTTTTGACACATTTCTCGAAGAATCATTTTGAAAGAGATCTATTTTCAGCAGAACTTTAAATGCATACGCGTAAACTACTTTTCCCATTTAATATGTAGAACAAATGAATCATGTGTAAAAGATTCGCTCTCGAGCCGTGTAAATATGAATATCGAATAAATATGTAAATATATATAGCGATTCGAATTTAAGCTACGCGGCGCATATCGATCTGCAATTGTACATTTAATTTCGATGCGGTAAAAATGCAGGGTTTCTCGCTCGGCGATAGAATGGCGGATGGTGCATGAAAACGTCGGTTACATCATAAGAGCGCATAAGAGAGGCCCCGTATATGCACCGCATGCATGCATAGAGGAGCGTATCCCTGAACCGGCGGCGCTCCTTCGTCGCGTCGATGCTGCGCCGAGTTCGTTGGTGCATCGACCTTGGCATCTCTCTCATTGGCGCAACCTCGTTGGTGCAGTAAGTTGCATAACGGCGGAGAACCGCGTTAACGCGCCGGTGGCGCATCGATCAGATTGCGTCGAATGCGCGGGGCCACTCGGGCGAGAACTTCCGGTTTCGCGAATTTCACGAAAGAGACCTCTCGTCGACGGACTTTTACTCTGCTATGAAGAGAAAAAAAATCTTTTTTTTTTTTTCGATGACGTGACACGTCGCAACGTCGTGAATCAACGTACGTATATACATATATGCGCATATTTAATTTCTGTCTCGCGGAGGTTGCGCGATTTCTCAAGATTCTGAATCTCTGACGCGGGGTTTTAATTATTCGTCATTAAATTGTCTTTGTATAACTGATGCCAACATGGAAACGAGGGAGGCGAACGGAAATTTTCTTCGTTTAATATTCGCGCACCGGGGAATAATTTCGTCGTTAAAATACATCCGACTCTACTGCATCGCGGCCGCAAGACGTAGGCACGAGAGATACGCTATTGATCGGTCTACCAAGGTGCAATGCTTGGCTGCAGAACGAGAGAGAGAGAGAGAGAGAGAGAGAGAGAGAGAGAGAGAGAGAGAGAGAGATGTGCCAACGACGCAGAGAGGCCTCGACGGCGACGACCGAGCAAATGTGAAAATAACTTGAAAGGTATCGATTCAAGGTCATACGCGAGTTCAATTTAAATATGTTTCGTGTCCTCCGGACATATAGTGATACTGGCTGCCGGCGAATGGACTTGAATGGTCAAACATGGTCGGCGACTGGAATAAAAAATTCCGACAGCTCTGTCACGCTTCTGGAAATTATCGCGAAATTATATTTATTATACCGCGTCGAGAGAAAATAGATTTTTTTTATTTTAATTTCAACTTTATATTTTATGAAGCGCGAATACTTCTTTACGGTAACTTTTCCGTTATCGAGAGATTCTACACAGAATCTAGGACGGTAGAAAAATACGCGTTTGATTACCTTTGCAAATTTCCTCGTTCAATTATCGCTCGGATAAATCCAACGATAAATGAAAAATTTCCGCTGACGATCATCGAGCACGCGTCGTCGAAGAAATTGCATTCTTTTATTCTTTCCATTTGTTACGACAATCTTTTTTAATGAAGAAAGAGAGAGAGAGTGATCTCTATTGCGCGCGATGCAGGCAACGCAATTCCGAGACCCTCTTGTAAACGAGCTGCACCGATTCCAATTAATACTTTCCAGAACTGTCGGAACTCTTGTAACTTGTTAGCTTTGTGAAGCGCTGGTGCACTTTAACCCGTTCTAACCGGTCGGACTTTCGCAGTTCGTATATACCGATGATCATTTCGGGCCGAGAGAGCTGGCTCGAACAAACTTGCTCAAACTTAGACTCGCGCGAGCTGTCAAACTATCGAGAGCATCGCGAGAAACTCTGCGAATGGCTAAAACGGCGCGTATCGTTCGACGTCATGGAGATCGAGATCGGCAATTTTCCATCTTTGCACGATTTTATCACGAGAAGAATCTCCTTTCGCGAATCTCAACTTTTACGCGGATAAAATAATTAATTAAAATCTACAAATTATACGAACGAAGAGGATATACTTCTCGCAAAGAATCTTCGATCTCCGTGACTCGAGATCGATACATCTTCTTAGTTCGATCGATAATTTCTCTTAACCCTCGATTAACCACTGTATACTCGACATATTTTTCTACCCCCACGATTTATTTATACATCGTCGCCACATGGGTGCGACATGGTTTTTATCTTTAAATTGCGAACGAGATTTGTATGCGTGACAGATAAATAATAATCGGGATTTCGGTGATCGGGGGTTAATGCAGAGATTTTAATGTTATTTAATATATATTATATATATATGTATGATTGTAAATAAAATATGAATATATTGAATGAGATGACTGCAATGCGCGCGTATATGTATGTGTGCGTTGGGTATACCTTTTTGTAATCGTGTTGTATCATCGTCACGTATCGCGAGATGTTCGCGCGATATATATGCAATAAAGTGTAACATAAATCTATAATACTACGTATCCATTTTCGATCATCACGTGTCATCATCTTCGTTGAAGCGAGACAAATCTGTTCTGCATGACGCAACAAGCGAGATTTACTCGCTTTTAATTGTACAGGATTTTTTTCCATTTCTTATATTTTTCTCTCTATTAATAATAAAATAACGATATATATATATATTTCAATAAAAATGCATAATGAACTTGATGTCGAAAATGATGTTCCTGATTGACGTCTAACGATTCATGCGATAAGTAGTGAGTCACTTTATATTATATATTTTATTTTATATCGAGAGACAAGATCGTGTCTCGCCCAATAATCTATTGTACAAAGAATCGTGTCTATTGCGTCGATTAAAAATAAACATTGCAATATATATTTATTACTTGCAAGACATATTTTTTTACACACTTTTTATAGGCGCAAATAAAATTGTACATATACATCAATAAAAGCGATACAATTAATCAGGAAGTAAAAGAGTTTAATGCAAAAAAAATTTATGATGCCAAAGTATTGTATCGATTAAATTATATTGCAAAGATTGTCGCCAAAAATAAAGACAGTATCGGGAAAATGAGTAAAATCGCAATTACGATTTTTGACAAAATTTTTTTTTTTTTTTTTTTTTTTTTATTTTTAATATCTCCAAATCCATAACTGTACATCGACGTGGGATTATCTGTCGAGCAACATTATAATTTTGATAAAAAATCACATAGTGTCATCGATGAATCATCTCGCGCAGAACCATATTAGCGTGCAATTAGCGAGAACTCGCGCGATAAGGGTATACATATGAAATAAAATTCCTCCACGGACGTTCACCCCGGGTTACGTTCGATTCCGTTCGGTCGATACCAAGCCCTCCCTCTCCCTCTTCCTCCCCTCTTTCTCTTTTAGCGCTCGTTAAAGCGCGTCATTAAGCGCGCTCGATTGACTTGTAATTCCACTTTAATTTCTCTCGAAGCAGAAGATGCTCCTCGGCATATAACTCACGCAAGAATGCAAGACCGGTCCATTTTTTTTTTATCCTCTTATTTGCCCTCTTTCCGCCCTTCTTCCTCATGAATATGCTGGCGAAGCGCTCTCTCGAGCGCATCACCGAAAAGAAAGGAAAAAAAAAACGTATATCGCGCGTAAAACCGTCGATCAATTAGCGTAATCGCGAGGTGGAAAAATCCTCGAACCTTCTTCTCGAGTAACGGGGATACCGCGAATCTTCGAGCGATTCCGACTGCATTCTGATGCTACGCTCGTCGTTTTATTTGAAGAAGAATTTTCCTCGGATTTGTGTAACTCGAAGAAAAATCTGGAGGCAATAAATGTGATTTTAGACTTTGGGAAATTTTCCTTTCTCCTTAATGATCCAAATTCTTCGATTTTCGCGTGAGAAAGAGGGAAAAAAAGAAGATAAAATATTTCCTTCCTTCAATCTTATTCTCGTTACATCATCGGGGTGAGCAGCTGGAAATGTAACCCGCGCTTAAGTCGGGATGCTTACACGCGGAGGATTTACGAAGAGCGATAGTAGTTGATTTTCTCCTCCGCGCGCGGCGCAATTATATATCTGGGCGTGGTCGGAGATAGACTGGAATTACAAGCATCAGGAAATTAAGCCGGTAATTACGCGGATCTGGTATTAATTCGCGCGATTCTTTCGCCGCGCAGTTGGGTAACAGCAATTTCTCGCGGTAGCGCTGTCGTGAAAGACAGACCGGGGTTGAGTTAATCACCCGTCTGTCGCGATAAAGCACATAGATGGAAATTATAATAATTACAGGAAAAGTAACGAGCGTCCATTGCAACGCCGAGTGGGAAGAGAGAACTCGAGTTTCTCCATCGGATAATAATCTGATCATGTAAATGTAAAACGAGTCCCTCCTTTCTCTCGGCGTTGTAAAGTTGACGTCATCACGTTTACATTAGCCAGACTGATTAATGATTTCGTATGTATTCATGTATTATGGCATATATTTACTATACGAGACAAAACACGTATTTTACGTTCAGTATTTACGATAGAATGAACAAACAACGCGCGATAAATATTCCATAAGGAATTCTCGAGATTAACGATTTAATCGGAGTAACAAAAAAAAAAAACTGGCTGAAAGAGAAAGACGAGAGTTGGAAATGTCATTGTTCGTCGGTCCGATACGTCGCCGATTAATCGTTAATTAATTCCGAGGAAAAGAAACCCGACGACGACGTCGCTTTTAGTCGCCCTCGGATTCCTTCGCCAAGACGATGTGCGCACGGAGCTGAATAATTGCGTTATACGACCTCCTTTCTCCCTTCTTCTTCCTTCCTCTCTTTCTCTCTATCGCTTCTTCTTCTCCCTGTCCGGCCACGCGACCCTATGTAACGTCATTATCCCATTAGTTGACGAGATACGCGGCTACGGGGCTGTCTCCTTCGCGTTGGATACAAACACGCATACATATAATACACACACAGTTAGCAGCTTTCCGCAGTAACGATCACGCAATAGCTGCCAAGCAACAACTAATTTTATTTACTGGTTAAACATCGAGACGTAGAGTTTGTGTTCTTGGACTATATTATTACAAAAATGGAAGAAATATCTGGAAAATTATAATGATATTTATTTTGACACATCCAGCAGACTCGATGAAAAAAATTCCCCGACTTTTTCCAAGACCAGAAATTTATTTTCATTGTTTCCAAATACATAATTTGCATACATCTAAGTGATAAATCAATTAAATGTTCAATCATGAAATTCTTGAGATATTTTTCATTCAACAATAAAAAGGTTCGAAAGTTGAAACAAAAATTTTAATCAATTATCGCAATCTGCATTATGATAATCGAAACAAACATAATTACCTTTTTTATTTATATTACATCACATTTGTCAATTTTGTCTCTATCAAACACATTGAAATAAAATAACACGACGATGAAAATATCAATTAACTGGGAGTCAAGGAAAAGTTTATATTTATTTAAATAAAGAATTTCAATGATCGAAATAAATGTATAAGAATAATATGTGAAAAATCCAGATAATAAAAATAGTAAAATTTCCTCACTTTTCCCTGACAATTCCAGATTTCTAAAATTCCCTGCCGCTGGACACCCTGACATCTCAAGATCTTGTTATACACATAATACAGCATCGATACTTAATTCCAACAGACAGGAGGAGCGAGATATCGAAGTGGCGCGTGCTCTTATCCTCGAAGACGGAGGGAAATAAATAAGGCAGCAAGGCATAGTCATATGAATTGCGCTCCAACAGGTGCCGGGTATCGGATCCACCAGAGCACCTGATGAAGTACAATTAACATGCAGCCTCCACACGCGCACCGAGACCCCGTTCTTCTTTCTCTCTATCTCTCCCTCTTTTTTCTCCCCTCTTTCTCTCACATTTCTCCCTGAAACCTCTTCCTTTATTTGTCTTCTCCTTCGTGTCCTCGAAAAGGCGCGGTTCGTTTCTCCGCAGCGCGCGCTACTTCAGGTACCTGACTGACTTTTAAATTGGCACAGCCTAAAGTACCCGAGTAACGCGTGTCGCGAACGATACGTGTATATATATCTATATATACATATATATACATATATACATACATATATATATATATATATGTATGAATGAAGAAAAGCCAGCAGCCGCAGAATCCCATCGGGTGATGATCTTCGTGATTACAGCTGTCAAGGATTCTTGACCCTTTCGCTCCTTCTTGCTGCTCCTGGATTCGCTTCTTCTCGGCGCAAATGACAGTTCTCGCACTGATGTTGAAACCAAGATCTCATTAATCCGCTATATGTACGATTATATCGTAAGTTTCATCAGTAAGATCGTAACGCGTGAAATGATCGTGGGATTCGAAATTACGTTTCTTTACCACCATTGATAATATAATAACATATCCTCCATTCTTCGTCGGATTTTGCACAGACTCGGGAACTAAATGTTAATAAACGGTGCGAACGCAACGACTCGTGCATTCGCATGCGATCATCTCCTCGGGGAATTTACGAGTTTTCATTTTTAATTATACACCTATATATATATATACCTAGAGCTCGCACGAGGAAATGAAGAAATTGGCCTGAAATCCCGAGCGGATGCATTATTTAGCAGCGATTTGCAGAATTTGCGATCTTAACGCGTTCTTATACAAAGGACTCGAAATGTTCTCGACGAGCTATAGAACGATGCATAATTCATGAAGGAAAATCGGTGGAGCTTTTTCGCGACACATCACGCTGCCGGAATTTTTTCTTCCCTATAAGAGAGAGAAAAGCGCGATATCGACGGATGAATTTCCATCGATTCGTCTTTTTCTCCGAGAGAGAATCCGTTGGAAAGTACCGCAAGAGAGATCCCGACAATGGACCTCGGCGTTCCCGGTTCACCTTTTGCTCGTTTATCAAACCGAGCGGCAGATGTTGCATCCAGGTAACAAGATTTTCAACGATATATCCGCGAGATGAATATCCGCGTGTGCGATCTTCGAGTGTCTAGAAAGCTGACTCTTCGGAAATTTTTTTTTTTTTTACACGACGGAATTCCTAAGAGAGCAGAATTCTTCGGAATTTAATTTTTTAATTTGGAAACTCGAAAAAAAGAAAAAAGGTGCTGAAAATAATTCGCGCGAAAAATATTGATTGTTCTGGTTTGGGATATATTCTCTCTTGTTTGAAATTGCGAAGTAGTGGTCTCTTTAAAAGAGGAAACTTCTCCGTATCTCGCGTAGAGTTGAATTTAATTTGGAAACTTGAATAAAAATAAAATTGCGCAAAAATGCAATTCAGGTGCTGAAGATAATTCGCGTGAAAAATATTGATCGTTCTGGTTTAGGGTATTTTCTCTCGTCTCAAATTGAGGACGATCGAAGTAATGGTCTCCCTAAAAGAGGTGACTTCTCCGCATCTCGCGAAGAATTAAATTTAATTTGGAAACTTGAATAAAAATAAAATTGCGCAAAAAATGCAATTCAGGTGCTGAAGATAATTCGCGTGAAAAATATTGATCGTTCTGGTTTAGGGTATTTTCTCTTGTCTCAAATTGAGGACGATCGAAGTAATGGTCTCCCTAAAAGAGGAGATTTCTCCGCATCTCGCGAAGAATTAAATTTAATTTGGAAACTTGAATAAAAATAAAATTGCGCAACGTGCAATTCAGGTGCAAAAGATAATTCGCGTGAAAAATATTGATCGTTCTGATTTGGGATATTCTCTCTGGTTTTAAATTGCGGAGGAACGAAGTAATGGTCTCCTTAAAAGAGGAAACTTCGCATCTCGCGAGGAATTTTTAATTTGGAAACTCGAAAAAAATAAAAATGCAATTCAGATGCAAAAGATAATTCGTGTGAAAAATGACAATCATTCTGGTTTGGGATATTCTCTCTTGTCTGAGGATGAAGTGGTCCGTTAATAATTCCAAGCAAAAAAGAGAGAGAGAAATACAGACGTAATCGTAAAACGCGACGAC